GATGGTCTTTATATACAGGTTGATTTGACCAAACTGGTGCCAAAGTTCACATTAGACAGGTGGTCTTTATATACAGGTTGATTTGACCAAACTGGTGCCTAACATGCTGTCAGTGTCAAATTAGACAGGTGGTCTTTATATACAGGTTGATTTGACCAAACTGGTGCCAAACATGCTGTCACTGGTCACATTAGAGAGATGGTCTTTATATATAGGTTGATTTGACCAAACTGGTGCCAAACATGCTGTCACTGTTCACATTAGACAGGTGGTCTTTATATACAGGTTGATTTGACCAAACTGGTGCCTAACATGCTGTCACTGGTCACATTAGAGAGATGGTCTTTATATACAGGTTGATTTGACCAAACTGGTGCCAAACATGCTGTCAGTGGTCGCATTAGAGAGGTGGTCTTTATATACAGGTTGATTTGACCAAACTGGTGCCTAACATGCTGTCAGTGGTCGCATTAGAGAGGTGGTCTTTATATACAGGTTGATTTGACCAAACTGGTGCCTAACATGCTGTCACTGTTCACATTAGACAGGTGGTCTTTATATACAGATTGATTTGATCAAACTGGTGCCAAACATGCTGTCAGTGTTCACATTAGACAGATGGTCTTTATATACAGGTTGATTTGATCAAACTGGTGCCTAACATGCTGTCAGTGGTCGCATTAGAGAGGTGGTCTTTATATACAGGTTGATTTGACCAAACTGGTGCCAAACATGCTGTCAGTGGTCGCATTAGAGAGGTGGTCTTTATATACAGGTTGATTTGACCAAACTGGTGCCAATGGTCGCTTTAGAGAGGTGGTCTTTATATACAGGTTGATTTGACCAAACTGGTGCCTAACATGCTGTCAGTGGTCGCATTAGAGAGGTGGTCTTTATATACAGGTTGATTTGACCAAACTGGTGCCAAACATGCTGTCAGTGGTCGCATTAGAGAGGTGGTCTTTATATACAGGTTGATTTGACCAAACTGGTGCCAATGGTCGCTTTAGAGAGGTGGTCTTTATATACAGGTTGATTTGACCAAACTGGTGCCTAACATGCTGTCAGTAGTCACACTAGACAAGTGGTCGTTATATACAGGTTACATTACATGTAATTTCAGGGTGTGCCACTGACCCAATTTTACTTGTTTTGTAGCTTTATATGATGAGGACAATGCTGGAATCCTTAATTTCTGATAAAGGTGGTAGTGGTAAGAAGACACTACGTAAGGAATTGGACAGCACAGCCTCAGACTCCATTGATAGTTTTCATAAGAAGTCTTTCTTTTATCAACATCTTTTAAATTTTTCAGGTAAGCTTGACCTTTTTGCTGGACATTTATTTAAATGAATTTCTAATATGAATATCAATATATGGCAATCTTGCTGTAAACAAAATTTCACTTGTTTAGTATATTTATATGAGTAATGATTATAATACGGTGTACAATTTTAGCTTTTCTCCATATAATCGATTTCTTAGAATAATAACATTCAAATAACATTTCAAACTGAAGAATATTTAATAGACCATTTTCCGTACACTGCGAGAATCACGCGTTATGCGTGAAATCGAACGTAAAAACAGGACAAACAAAGGTCATAGCGTCGTAGTCGCGTCAAACATCGCGTGGGATTCGACAAACGCGAAAGTATTTCGGGGACATTTCCATGCTTCATCATGTGCTGTCCACATTTGATGATAGGCAATTTCGATTAAGTGAGGGTATTCGGAAGCAATATTCCTCTGTCGAAGATCGACCGGTCAATGTAAGCTGCGAAATAAAGAAATTTTAGTTCAAAATCAAATCGTTTGATTTTTGCGGCAGACGTTCGACGCGCGTCTTTCATGCATCTCGCGAGATCTCGCAATTGTTCGGAAAATCACCTATTAACATTAGAGCATAGAAATAAAACATTAAAAATAACAGTTTTAGATTTTAACAGTTTATTCATGTCTGAGGTGCTTAATCTACATAGGTTGGCATAAATGTATGTGCTTATGCATCAATTACGAATATTAATTGTATATGTAAGGAGATTTTGTGCCTAAAATATCAAATAGACAAACTGGAAATACACATATACCCACAGTAAAACATGGATTAACAATCTGGTTTCCAAACATTGGGTTTTAAGCATACACATCAGATACAGCCATTTGTTAGTTAAATACACGATGCAACAAAAACATTAAGTCTTTGTACTTCAAAGCTGCTGTCAATACACAATAAAAATTTTGCAGAGGTGTGACTTAGTGAGGGGTCACTGTATTTATCTCATAGGTCATAACACTTTCATGTGTTGTGTTTCATCCCGGTACAGGTATGTCTAAACAGCGAATTCTTTTTTATTTCTAGATGCTTTACAGCAGTCTTGTGATCTATCACAGTTATGGTACAGGGAATTTTATTTGGAACTTACAATGGGCAAAAGAATACAGGTAACATGTCGGTTTTATTCCTTTGAGCATCATAATGTAATCTCCCCCCCCCCAAAAAAACTTGTATTTGGAAATTTCTTTTTAGTTATTTCGTTATCATTTTTTTTTTGTTAGACCAAATGGACACAATGCTCCATTGCCTATAGTTCTTAATCAAAATCATTGAAAAATATTATTTGAGACTACCCACAAATGTTGACTTGGCAGACAAACCTTATATACATTATGTCGATGAACAAAAACAAAAAAATAAAACCCTGCTAAAGGCAACATTCAATACGTAAATTATCTTGACTTTGTATCAATCTCTACAATCCTTCTCGTTTTAGTTTCCTATAGAGATGTCCATGCCGTGGATATTAACAGATCATATATTAGAAACTAAAGAACCCTGCATGATGGAGTAAGTTCACATGGCAATATATGTCAAATATGTTAGGGTTCTAGTCAGCATGGCGATAGTAATGTGTAAATGACAACTGTAGTTCTGAAACTGTTTGTGATGACCTTTTGACTCAAAGACTCAATCATCATCGTCATTTTTCTTCTAGGTATGTCTTGTATCCACTAGATTTATATAGCGACAGTGCTCACTATGCATTAATTAAATTTAAGAAGCAATTTCTTTATGATGAAATAGAGGCTGAGGTGGGTGTTGTTTTCATGTTCCTTTCATATCACTCTTACCTATTAATAGAACATTAATGAATGTCTCACGGCAAATCAGAATGGCCAAGTAATATGAATCTTGATTGTACAGTTTGACAATTTCTTTTTTACTGCTTTTTTCATATAGGTGAATTTATGCTTTGATCAGTTTGTGTATAAATTGAGTGATCAGATATTCGGTTATTATAAAGCACAGGCAGGAAGCATATTATTGGATAAGAGATTCCGAGCAGATTGTGGTGCACATGGTATTCATATACCATACCCACCACCAAATAGATATGAGACATTACTGAAACAAAGACATGTCCAGGTAATTTACATCACGGTAGATAATTCAGTGTCGTATTTACTCTATCAGTAGGGGGGATGCACTGACATAAATAAGAAAATTGTTGTCTATGGTGAAAGTATTTTAATAATTCTGCATATAATAAATTCATTTTTAGCTCCGCTGTCGACTTTGTCGAGCGGAGCTTATCATATGAGTGATTGTCCGTTGTCGTCGTCGTCCGTGTCAATGTTTTACTTTTTCGACTTCTTCTTGAAAACTACAAGCCTGAATGCTTTATAACTTGGTGTATATGTTCCTTGGGTAGACCTCTGTTAGGTTTGTTCATTTCATGTTGATATCTTCAATTCTCTAATTTTGGTGAATATTTTTGTAATTTTTGGTAAAAAGTGATATTTTCGACTTCTTGTTAAAAACCGCAATTGCTTTGATATTACATATATAGGTACTACATGTGGACCTCTCTCAGATTTGTTCATTTTGTAATGATATCTTTAATTCTCTAATTTTGGTGAATATTTTTGTCATTTTTGGTAAAAAGTGATATTTTCGACTTCTTGTTAAAAACCGCAAGTGCAATTGCTTTGATACTACATATATAGGTACTACATGTGAACCTCTCTCAGATTTGTTCATTTCGTGATGATATCTTCAATTCTCTAATTAATTTATTTTGGTGAATATTTTTGTAATTTTTGGTAAAAAGTGATATTTTTGACTTCTTGTTAAAAACCAATAGTTCAATTGCTTTGATATTACATATATAGATACTACATGTAGACTTTTCTCAGATTTGCTCATTTTGTGATGATATCTTCAGTTCTCTTAATTTTGGTGAATATTTTTGGTAAAAAGTGATATTTTCGACTTCTTGTTAAAAACTGCTAGTCCGATTGCTTTGATATTACATATATAGGTACTACATGTGGACCTCTCTCAGATTTGTCCATTTTGTGATGATATCTTCAATTCTCTAATTAATTTATTTTGGTGAATATTTTTGTAATTTTTGGTAAAAAGTGATATTTTCGACTTTTTGTTAAAAACTGTAAGTCCGATTGCTTTGATACTATTCATATTGTTCATTTTCTAATGATGTCTTCAGTTCTTTAATTGAAATGTGCATTGCTAACAGCGGAGCTATCTCAGCCGATAGGCTGCTTTTTTAACCTAGGCATGCTTTTATTAGAGATAATGATAAAATAGTCTACAGTTATATGACTGTGTGTATGCATTCCTACACGAATTCATGTAAAACTGATTTATATTTTATCTTTTTCCAGCTTCTTGGGCGATCCATAGATCTGAACCGACTGATAACGCAGCGTATTAGTAGTGCCATGCAAAAATCCTTGGAATTAGCAATAAATAGATTTGAAAGTGGGGACATAACCGGCATTATGGTAAGGCTTCCTTCCGTCTCATATTCTCCCAAATGAAAAAAAAAAATTCTTTGTTCCTATGCTATGAAAATGGTTTGTGTTACTGTATTTGCTCTTTTAGATGCCCACATGCTTACATAAATTATATATCTAAAGGAATAGCATGGATAGTTCAGTGTGGTTTGTATTAGAGATGCACTTCTAATAGAGTACATATGGTACCAGTAAAGATGTCTGATCTTGTTCAGGCAGTGATATGTTCTGAATTTTATTCTTGCAGGAGCTGGAAGGTCTGTTAGATGTTAATCGACTTACACACAAATTGCTCAGTAAGCATTTAACGTTAAGTGACTTTGGATCTATGTTTCGTGAAGCTAACCACAATGTCCTGGCTCCCTATGGTAGAATTACTTTACATGTGTTCTGGGAGCTAAACTATGACTTCCTGCCAAACTATTGTTTTAATGCTGCAACAAACAGGTGAGTTTATAACATCGTCAGATGGGAACTGGCTAGTTTTTGAGGTGGCCGCTGGGTGTGTTCTTGATGTGGCCACTGGGTGTGTTCTTGAGGTCGCGACTGGGTGTGTTTTCGATGTCGCCAATGGGTGTGTTCTTGATGTGGCCACTGGAGGGTGTTCTTGGGGTGGCCACTGGGTGTGTTCTTGGGGTGGCCACTGGGTGTGTTCTTGGGGTGGCCACTGGGTGTGTTCTTGAGGGTGGCCACTTGGTGTGTTCTTGG